CCAATCAGAACTCCGACCCCCAGCATAAGCATCCCCGGGATACGGGTGTTCGGAGCTCCGTCGGCTGTTCGGGTGCTGCGGGCTGCTCGGCGCGGAGACATCGGGAAAGAGAAGCATGTCTGAAAACCGCGGCCAATCAGAGCCGGGGGGCGGGGACTATACTCCGCCCCCATTGGTGAAGAAGTTATCTGTTCCAATAGAGGAGCGAGGAATGTAAACAAAGCTGGTGACTCTATCCAATCAGAGTCCGGGGCGGGTCCAGTCACTGACAGCTCAGCTTACACTATTTGCTCGCTGATTGGTTGTCAGGTAGCCGATGGTTGCCGTGAGGCCGCCGTCGCCATTTTAGAAAAGGGAAAAGGAAGCAGCGTCAGTCACGTGTCACTTCAGACGTATCGCCGAGGAGACCGAGCAGCCAATCGGAAAGGAGATCCCGCCACACAGACATTTCACCATCACTGCAGATCTGGGAAACGTTCTGCCTTTCCCCCATTCTTCTTATTGCTCCGCCCACGTTCACCTTCCATCCAATCTGATTGCACAACCTGGTCACTATGGAAGGTGTGTTCCCATGGAAACTGAATGCGGAATTAAAGGGCAACTCCAGACATCTCTTATCCCTGCCCCCACTTCCTGTCAGGACCCCTAGGGGGAGGGTCAGAATGTAGATTGTAATTAATGGAGATGATAGCGGCCCAACCAATCACAGAGAGGAAATATGGGACAGCAAAGGGCGGCCATGTTGTAGAGATCCCATCCCCGACTCCAGGGGGGGGGGGGGGGGAGAGGAGGACACATTCACTGCTCTGTGATTGGACGTTTTTTATGGGGGCGGTCCAGCACCTCCAGTGATGACACACACCTTCCCCGCTCTCCTCACACATGAATTCATCTCCCTTTACTTCCTGGAACTCTGTGTCATGTGACCACACACATGCCATTCCCTGAGGTCTAGTGAGACTTCCCAGGATGCAATGCTGGGACACGATGACATCACTAATATCAGTATATATGTAATCAGCCAATCACAGGGCGGCCTCTGGACGCGGAGAAGACCGCTCGCTGAGCCTCAGAATGGGGAGTAAAGTGACTGAACGTGGTGGTGGGGGGTAGTAGGATGTGGGGTGTAGTTGGTGGTGTGATGTTGGGTGTAGTTGGTGGTGTGATGTGGGGTGTAGTTTGTGGTGTGATGTGGGGTGTAGTTGGTGGTGTGATGTAGTTGGTGGTGTGATGTGGGATGTAGTTGGTGGTGTGATGTGGGGTGTAGTTTGTGGTGTGATGTGGGGTGTAGTTGGTGGGGGGGGCTGTGATGCGAGTCCCCTCCACTGGACCTGGCAGGAAGCTCCGCCCAACCGGCTGCATCGGGGAAGGAATCACCCGCAGCTTCCTGTAAAGGGGCGGGGCATAGTGACATCATTGACCTTTTATTGGTATGTAGACATACAAGGTCAATTATGTCTGCACAGGCCCGCCCCTTTCTTTATGTGCAGCTGATTGGGCAGGTGGCCTGTGGCACTTCTGTATTTGGAGGAGTGTGCCAGCGGCACATGGACACGTCGCCACGCCTGTAGGTGCGTTTGCACTGCTTGCAGGGGTCGTCGTGGTAGAGCGGGTCCTGACTCCAGCGCGAGTCGCACGGGCGCACGCCGTAGTCCTCCATCAGCGCGCGGAAACGCCGACACGCGCACTTCATGGCGGCCAGGGACTGCGTGGACAGGTAAGAGAAGATGGCCAGGAGGACGTGGTCGGGCAAGGACGGCAGGTAGTGGACTCCACCTTCTCCAGGAGGACGCAGACGCGGTGCGGCTCCGGACTCAGCAACTGGTACAAGTCACACGTGATGGGGTCCCCCGGCCTCTCCGCCACGCGAAAGGCGATGCGCACCTCGCGCTCCGCGTGTTCCGCTTCGTACTGAGCCACGGCTTCCGCCACGCTGCGGCAACGCCCCTCCTCCTCCTCGCTGCTTTCCGAAGAGGTCACCAGGACCAGCGGAGGTCTCGTGGGAGGAGCTTCCGCGCCGCGGCTTTCCGCGCGCGCCACCATCTCCGCCACGGATGTGGGAGCGTCCGGGTCCACGGTGTGCCGTCGCCTCTTGGCCCTGGAGCTGCCGCCGGCGCTCCACCTTCCCTTCACCTTGGGGCCCCCGGGCCGCGGCACGGCGCCATTCCCGGCACACTGATAGGCCACGAAGAAGGCCACCTTCTCCTTGGTGTTCCCGGGCTTGATGACGTACCACGTGTCCAGCAAGACGCGGTCATCTCCGTGGTTGGCGTGGCCCTTCTCCTCGGCGGCATTGGCCGGCATGTCCTCGTCCCCGGACGGACAGCTTGCAGAATAGGCCCCGAGGGGCCCCGGGCTCCACAGGTGGACGGGGGAGGGGATCCGAGGATCCATGGCTAGTCCGTGGCCCCGCCTCCGGACCTCCACGGATCTGAGGAGAGAGAAGAGGAGAGGTGTCAGGAGGTGACGGGGGAGGGGAGGCGTGGCACCAGATACACCCCACAGGGCCCCTCTCCTCCTATATATCCTCCATAGGGCCCCTCTCCCCGTATATACACCCCATAGGGCCCCTCTCCCCGTATATACACCCCATAGGGCCCCTCTCCCCGTATATACACCCCATAGGGCCCCTCTCCCCGTATATACACCCCATAGGGCCCCTCTCCCCGTATATACACCCCATAGGGCCCCTCTCCCCGTATATACACCCCATAGGGCCCCTCTCCCCGTATATACACCCCATAGGGCCCCTCTCCCCGTATATACACCCCATAGGGCCCCTCTCCCCGTATATACACCCCATAGGGCCCCTCTCCCCGTATATACACCCCATAGGGCCCCTCTCCCCGTATATACACCCCATAGGGCCCCTCTCCCCGTATATACACCCCATAGGGCCCCTCTCCCCGTATATACACCCCATAGGGCCCCTCTCCCCGTATATACACCCCATAGGGCCCCTCTCCCCGTATATACACCCCATAGGGCCCCTCTCCCCGTATATACACCCCATAGGGCCCCTCTCCCCGTATATACACCCCATAGGGCCCCTCTCCCCGTATATACACCCCATAGGGCCCCTCTCCCCGTATATACACCCCATAGGGCCCCTCTCCCCGTATATACACCCCATAGGGCCCCTCTCCCCGTATATACACCCCATAGGGCCCCTCTCCCCGTATATACACCCCATAGGGCCCCTCTCCCCGTATATACACCCCATAGGGCCCCTCTCCCCGTATATACACCCCATAGGGCCCCTCTCCCCGTATATACACCCCATAGGGCCCCTCTCCCCGTATATACACCCCATAGGGCCCCTCTCCCCGTATATACACCCCATAGGGCCCCTCTCCCCGTATATACACCCCATAGGGCCCCTCTCCCCGTATATACACCCCATAGGGCCCCTCTCCCCGTATATACACCCCATAGGGCCCCTCTCCCCGTATATACACCCCATAGGGCCCCTCTCCCCGTATATACACCCCATAGGGCCCCTCTCCCCGTATATACACCCCATAGGGCCCCTCTCCCCGTATATACACCCCATAGGGCCCCTCTCCCCGTATATACACCCCATAGGGCCCCTCTCCCCGTATATACACCCCATAGGGCCCCTCTCCCCGTATATACACCCCATAGGGCCCCTCTCCCCGTATATACACCCCATAGGGCCCCTCTCCCCGTATATACACCCCATAGGGCCCCTCTCCCCGTATATACACCCCATAGGGCCCCTCTCCCCGTATATACACCCCATAGGGCCCCTCTCCCCGTATATACACCCCATAGGGCCCCTCTCCCCGTATATACACCCCATAGGGCCCCTCTCCCCGTATATACACCCCATAGGGCCCCTCTCCCCGTATATACACCCCATAGGGCCCCTCTCCCCGTATATACACCCCATAGGGCCCCTCTCCCCGTATATACACCCCATAGGGCCCCTCTCCCCGTATATACACCCCATAGGGCCCCTCTCCCCGTATATACACCCCATAGGGCCCCTCTCCCCGTATATACACCCCATAGGGCCCCTCTCCCCGTATATACACCCCATAGGGCCCCTCTCCCCGTATATACACCCCATAGGGCCCCTCTCCCCGTATATACACCCCATAGGGCCCCTCTCCCCGTATATACACCCCATAGGGCCCCTCTCCCCGTATATACACCCCATAGGGCCCCTCTCCCCGTATATACACCCCATAGGGCCCCTCTCCCCGTATATACACCCCATAGGGCCCCTCTCCCCGTATATACACCCCATAGGGCCCCTCTCCCCGTATATACACCCCATAGGGCCCACCTGTTCCCTGTTATTAGATATAGGGCCCCGCTCACCTTACAGAGCCCCTCACCCCCCTACATAACCTCCGTAGGGCCCCTGTAAATCAGATATAGGGCCCCTCTATCCTCCATATATTACATATAGGGCCCATCCCCACCCTGTATATCCCCCATAGGGCCCCTCTCCCTACCATATATCCAATATTGGGCCCCCCGGGGGGGGGTCTCGCCCTCTTCACCGGCTCCGGTTTCCTCTCTCTGCCGGGAAATGTCACTCGGGGAGGGGAGTCACCTGACCTCTTAAAGGGACAGTCCTCTCCGGCTCCCACGCTTAGCTCTGGTGACGGACAGCAGCGGGAGGGGCTGCCAGCCAATCAGGATGCGCGGATCCGGCCATGTCCTTATATGGAAAGTCCCGGACCAGGTAGGGAGCGTCTGCTAAGAGCGGACTCGGAGAAAAGCGCACCGCGCAGCCCTAAGGATTAGAGCGAGGAGAGCCGCACCACGTGACCTCTGAAAAGGAGGGGGGATTGATGGCAACCAATCAGCTTCTCTCTTCAGATTGTTCAGTGAAGCTTTAAAAATAAAGAGAGAGAGAAGAGAAGCTGATTGGATGTCACGGACAACCGCCCCAGATTGTGTCTGCTCCATGACAGGCAGCAGCCAATCAGATTAGGGTTGCCACCTGTCCGGGATTCACCTGGAGACAGTCCGGGTCTTGTGTCTTAGCCAAGCATGCCAAGCCTTAAAATTGCGCGCGCCCGCGAAATCACAAAAAACGCCCAAAGGCGACGAATATAAAGCTTTTACCGCTCATCAGTTTCGTGTTATCGGCGATTATTGGCTCCAAAATTATCGCTCTCACTGCGACGTTTGCGGCGATGTGTAACATGTGCGGCGCAATCGTCATCTTCGCACGCTGGCGCACCCGACGCATATCTGCGTGTGTATGTGGGGGGCGGGGACTTTAAAACATTTTTTAATTTTTTTAATGCTTTAATTATTTTTATGATTCTTTAATTTTTGTATTACTTTTTTTTTTACACACAACTTTATTGCTATTGCATGGGAGGGGCTAAGAAGCCCCCTATGGGATAGCCAATTTAGATGACAGGTCCTCTTTATGGAGCCATCAGGGGTCTCCAAGACCTCTAATGTCACCTAGGGACCCCCAGAGAAGCTGATGGAAGCAGAGATCGGCTTCATCAGCTTCTGTAGCTGGAGAGTGACACTGAATGCAGGAAGTGATGTCATATACAGGAAGTGATGTCATATACATCACTTCCTGCAGTTGGGGACGGAGAGGAGATCAGAGGGAGATTGTATACTGACCTCCTGTCACAGAGCCGTGCCGGTACCGGCCGCATCGGGCACAGCGGATCTCCGGACCGGCAACGGCAGTGACAGCTTCTGGTAATACAAGCGATCGGCGTCCTCAGAGGTGGCTGGATTGTAACGCTCCACCGGAGACCCCGCACAGCCACCTGAGACCCCTCACAGCCCACCTGAGACACCTCACAGCCACCTGAGACCCCTCACTAGCCCACCGGAGACCCCTCACAGCCACCTGTGACCCCACACA